CCCCTCCCCAGGGTCTTCCCTGACCTCATACTTCTGTACTTCCAATTTCAGCCGTTCAATGTTGTTTAGGGTTTCTGTGATCCGTGGCTCCAAGCTGGCGGGGTCCCCCATCTGGGGTGTCTTTTCATATACGTCCTTCATTTTCTTCAGGGCTTCCCTAGGACCAGACAGAGAGATGAGAAAGAACAGTCCCATGTGACTTAACATGCAAAAAATATGGGCTTTGCTTCAAGGAGCAAGTAGCTGGCTAAGACAGTTAAAGCTCAAATACTAGTGCTTCACTACCTGGATTCGAATTCCAGTCTGACATTTCCTAGTTGTGTCAGTTTGTGTTGTTACTGAACCTGTCTTAGTATGCTAACCTTGAAAATTGGGATAATGATACATATATCTCATGTGAGTGGTTGTGCCTTTATTTATTCAGATACACATTGAGTACCTACTGCATAGCAGGCACTGTTCTAGGCATCAGAAATATAGCACTAAAAAAGAGAGTCAGGACCCTGCCTCTGCTCAGTGTCTCAGGAAAACCTAGGAACTCCAGTGAATCCATGTAAAGGGTTTGGAATAGTGCCTGGTATACGGTAAGCACTCTATAAATGCTCAGTGTTATCATTATCATTAGTCCCTGGTCCCTATTTCCTCCACAACTGTATATATAAGCAGTAATAGCTATGAGCATAGATTTCTGGAATATGTCAAATCTGGGTTCAACTCCTTTCCAGTCCTAACATGACCCATTACAGATGTGGAAACTGAGGCACAAAGAGGCTGAAACAGCTAGAATTGAAGGCCAGTCTGTCTTGACCCCACAGCAAGCATCCCTTAACCCCTACACCATAAAAACTCAGGAACTACAGAGTTCCGAATGGGACTTTACACTAACAAAAGGCATTTTTTACAAGAGGTTCTGTGCAAATGGCAAAATATAATTTGGTTGCTTGTTGGCAAGTCGCAAACGTCATTCCTATTATGTAAGAGAACTGGGAAGAGGATCTTGCTGCTTGGAAAGAGTGAGTAAAGACTTTCTTTTTTTATTCTGGCAGATTTTTTATTGTTAATATTTTAAGCGTTTGAGTTAGTAAATAGATAACCATATGTTGTTTTTTTATTTCTTTTAGCCAATTAATGTGGTAAATGAGACTGATAGGTTGGGTTTTTTTTATGTTAAACCATCTTTGCATTACTGGGATGACACCCAACTGCTCATTTTTCTTTTGTCTTTAAAAAAATTTTTTTTCTTATGGTAAAATATACGTAACAAAATTTCCCATTTGAACCAGTTTCAAATGTACAGTGCCATGGCATAAAGCACATTCACATTGTTGTGCAACCATCAACACCACATGATCTATTAGTTTTAAAATACACCATTGGATTTGCTTGGCTAGGATTTTGCACCTAAGGTCACAAGTGAGGTAAACTATGCCCATAATTTTATTTTCTACATTCTTGCTAACTGATTTTGTAATTGAGATTCCACCAGATTCCACCTCTGAAATGAGCTAGCAGCTTTCACTCTTTTTCTATTTGCTGGAATAACTTGTATAAGATGGGAACTACTTCTTATAAGTGGGGCAGGAAGCGCCTATAAAACCATCTGGGCCTAGAGTTTGTTGGGTGATGTTCGAGTACCATTTCAATGTATAGACAGACGGTCCCTAACTTATGATGGTTCAACTTATGATTTTTCAGCTTTGTGATGCTGCAAAAGTGATACTCATTCAGTAGAAACCACATTTCAAATTTTGTATTTTGATCTTTTTTAGGGCTAGCAATATGCAGTATGATACTCTCTTGCGATGCTGGCAACTACCATCAAGAGAGTAAACAATCAATATTCTACAGTGTAGTATTAAATGCATTTTGACTTACAGTATTTTCCAGTTAGGATGGATTTATTGAGACATAACCCCACTGTAAATTGAGGAGCATCTGTAATTCTTTATTATTTTATTCTCTTATTTTCCTGCCTCCCTCACCTTACCTCTGGTCAACCTCCTTCTGTAGTTCACGATTACGGTCCTCTAGCTGCTGTTGAAGCCGCTTTCTCTGCTGCTCTGGGGGCAAGTGACTGAAATCCTCGGTGACCACTGTCTGCAAAGTGGGAAGAGGACTGAGTTTGGGATCCTGGAGTCTGAGCTTCCAAGCTCTAAGACACTCCTAAGACACACCAAGTCCACCTTCCTCCCCACCCAAGGTTCTTAGGGGGCAATGCCATGCACAGAGCAAAGCAGATCCGGGTCGCACAATGGGAGAAGGGGACCCAGCCAGCGGCAGGAAGCGAGCCCAGGGTCCCGCCACCCGGCCGCTGGGTGGGCTGGAGCCATCCCCTCCTCCTCCCCCAGAGGCCTCACTTACCCCACGGCTGCCTCGAAGGCTGCGGAAGGATGCTAGCCGCGGTTTGACTGACTTACTGATCTCACTCAGTATGGCCAAGGGGTCGAGGCCGGAGCGGGGGGACGGGGGTCCATTAGGCAATGCCGAGGGCAGGGAGCCCCCCAGGGGGGAAGGGGGTGGGTCAGGAGGGGTGGGAGAATATAGAGAACGAGGACGGATGGATGGACGGACGGAGGGACGCGATAAAGGAAAAAAAGAAAAAACAAAATGGAGAAAAGAAAAAAAACGGTAAGAAAACCACAACTCAAGATGCACAATCACACACAGAAAATGCATGCAAAGAGCAACATAAAAATCTGGGAGGTGGCAGGGAGGACATTAGACTGTGAGCCAGAAGGCCAGACCTCTACCTCCTCCATTATCTCCCACCTCCCCTGCATCCCATGTCTAGTGCCTAGAATGGGGCCTGGGGGCACAGGGAAGCCCATGTTTCTGTCCCCTCCCCCAACCCTACCCCAGCTTTCTGGGCTCACAGTCTAGAATGTGGAGGAAGATGCATGCAGAAGTCAAGGTCTCATACAGGTATGGGGCCACAGAAGTCAAGGATAAGCTGAGAGAAGGGTCAAAGGCATGAAATATCAGAGTACTACAGGTGGGGTTTCAGCTGGGACAGGAGCACCATGTATAAATTGAAGAAGGGTATCAAGGGTCAAAGGTATACACTAGGGAGAAGGCAGTTGTTGAAGGTATAAACCAGGGGTGTCGAGGTATATGCTTGACATTGAAAGCCAAAATAAATAAATAAATAACAGCCTGAAGGTCGGGGCCCAGAGCCCCACTGGTAGGATGGAGAAACCCAGAGGGAGTCCCCAGGACCAGCATCTGAACCCTCACCCAGCCCTGAATCCTATAAGCAGGTCTTCTCCCAGCATCCTGAGAAACCAGACAGACTCCACAGGTCCCCCCACTCCTGACACCCCTGTCAGCCTCGGGGGACTCCCAGGCCAATCGCCCAGCTGCCTTCCTTCCCTCCAGCCTGGGCCAACAGCCAAGAGGAAAATTCCTGCCTGGGACTCAGCGTTCTGGCGGCTGGGGCTGA